ATCTCTCATGTCTTTAAATATGTTATTTGGCTATATATTGTAGTGTGGATGGTTTTGAATGTGAGTATTTAATAGAATTGATTGATTGTAGTGAGATTGTGGTGGAAAGATTGGATAGAATATAGTGTAATGAATGTTGAAAATGTTGTGTGTATGGAATTATTGTGCTTTAAATATATCGCAAATAAATGTGGGCATCTCTGTCGTGTAATGTAAATGAATGTGGGCTTTTGTGCCGTGTGTGTGAGATAATGTGGGTCTGTGTGCCATATGCGAATATGAATGCTATTCGTGGCTGAAAATATGTTTGAAAGGGGCATGTTAAATGCGGTTGTAAATATGCTCTGAATGGCTTAGCAATACACTAGAGGTGTGGAAGATGGAAACGGTAGAAATACCTTAGCGAAGAGAGACTGGTGGTGACACCAATAGTGAGCGTGGTTGCACCACAAGCCATGACTCTTCTCTTGACTAGACCTCTAACCAACACCTTTGTCAAGCGACTCATGACCGCACATGTGGTATCCATAAGGCGGGGATAATCGGCGACTATCTATGGTGTGAAACTGTGATCACAGTGGCACAACGAGCATGGCTATGTGCATTGAACGCACGTGGTGTGTGAAATGTTGTTGGTGCAGTGAGCACACCAGTGTTGAATTGATTTGGAATTATTGAAAGTGTTAATTTGTGATTGTTTATAATTGAGTAGAATATGTTAGAAAACACATGAAGTGTGCAAGGTGAGTCTCTATGTTTGTGTGCGTTGGATAGTGTAGAGTACTCACCCTTACATTTATTTTTCAAGTAACCAAGATGATCAGCACCGAGCTCAGTGAAAGAATGGATAATATTGCTATAGTGCTTAGATTTTATTTTGAAAATATGATGTATTTAGGTTAGTCTTGTAGCAGTTACTTACTCAAAATTTGTCAACCCTTATTATTTTAAAATACTTTGTCAAAACTATGTGTTGGGAAAGTCTATTTAAATGAAAATTTTATTATTTCCATTTTATGAAATTTATTATTTTGAAATTAAATTTAAGGTGTTACAATTTTGGTATCAGAGCAGTTTATCCAAACTGGACTCGGGTATCAGGCTGAAGCGTCCAAGCTATATGTTGATATGTTTTGATTACCTGATTTATAAATGTTATTGATTTAACGTTCAATGTGGTTTATTGAATTACTTGTTAGCTTATATTAGAATGGCTGGTAGAGGTAGAGGAGTTACAGGCACCAATGACCTCATGGAGCATATGACTCAAATTCTAGAGGCCTTGGTGCACAACCAAGGTGGAGAGCCGACTGAGTACCGAGGGTTGTCTGGCTTCACTAGGCATGATCCTCCAAAGTTTGAGGGCGGATTCAACCCTGAGAGAGCTCAGAGGTGGTTGGCAGATGTAGAGAAGGTTGCCTATGCCACATATTTGTTATGTAGAGAAACAAAAGACTGGTGGAGGTTTGCCAGTCAGACCTTACCACAAGAATGTGGTTATATCCAATGAGAGGCTTTTAAGGCAATTTTCTTAGGGAATTACTTTCTTCAAGATCAAAAGAAAGAGAAGGCCAGAAAATTCCTTGAACTGAAGTAAGGGAATATAACTATATGGGAGTATGTAGCTAAGTTCCAAGAGTTGATGAAGTGCTGGCCTCACTACCAATATGAGGACGGAGATGAGGACTTGTGTGCTCAGTTTGAGTACGAACTGAGGCCAGATATTTGAGCTGCAATCAGCGTGTTCCAACTGACAGACTTACCCACTCTAATGAGCAAGAGCAGAATCTTTGAAGCCAATTCCAAGGGCAAGACAGTGGACACTAATGGGACCGGTCCAGTGAGGCAAGATAGAAGACCTCCTAGATTCTCCAAGGGGTCATGTTCAGGCTCGAATAATTCACAGTCCAAAGGGACTTCATCATAAGAGAAGAGCAATGAAAATGACTCAGGATCAAACTCTTTCAGAGGGCTGATGAAATGTTTCAGGTGTGGAGGACCACACATAGTGAATGACTGCCCAGAGCCCCAGATAACTTGTAGCAACTGTGGGAAGTCAAGGCACACTGCCAACATGTGTTGGGCTGCTAAGAGGAGTGGCAGTGCTAGTACAGCTTAGAAGCCTGAGTCGAGAGGAAGCACGAGGCCAAAGCTGAGCATTCTCGGGAGGGCCATGAGTGGAGCAGAGGCTTCAGAGTCTAAGGATCTGATAAGAGGTAAATGTGTTATTAAGGGCAGGTTACTTGATGTATTGTTTGACTCAGGTGCTACGCACTCTCTTATTTTTGTGGACTGTGTGAAGAGTCTTGGACTGTATGTGACAGAACTACCGTGCAACGTTGTGGTGACTACCTTTACGGGTAAGCCAGTTGTGACATCATGGGTGTGTTTAGGATGCTCTATAATGGTGCATAGTAAGGAATTCGAGGTGGACTTAATCTGTTTGTCTCTTTCCCACTAGATGTGATTTTGGGGATGGATTAGTTGGTTGCCAATCATGTACCTTGATCTTCAGTGCGACAATGACAGAGGTTCCAAGGCTTATGAGTCAAGGTGCATGGGAGAACATGATAAACGCTAAGGCCTTTATGGTGATGTTTTCAATGGAGGCCGAAAGCGTAGTGGAGCTGGAGTACATCCCAATGGTGAGAGATTTCTTAGAAGTTTTCCCTAAAGATGTTTCCGAGTTACTTCTTGAGAGGAAAATAGAGTTTGCTATTGACCTCATTCTAGAGGCAAGCCTGATTTCTGTAGCGCTATACAGGATGTCATCAGTGGAATTGATAGAGGTCAAGAAGCAAGTAGAAGAATTGTTACAAAAACGGTTTGTAAGACTGAGTGTGTCACTGTGGGAAGCACTAGTGCTCTTGGTGAAGAAGAAGGATGGGAGCATGAGGATGTGTATAGATTACCGGCAGCTAAACAAGATAATGATAAAGAACAAGTGTTTGCTCCCAAGGATTAACGACTTGATGGACCAGTTGAGAGGAGCTGCAGTTTTCTCTAAGATTGACCTGAGGTAGGGGTACCACCAGATCAGGGTGAAGGATAAGGATATACCTAAGACAGCGTTCAGGACGTGGTATGGTCACTATGAGTATTTGGTGATGCCATTTGGGGACTGGGGTGATTAATACGCCTGCGATATTCATGGACTACATGAACAGGATCTTCCATGAGTTTTTGGATAAGTTTGTGGTAGTATTCATTGACGATATCCTGATTTATTCAAAGACTTAGGAAGAAAATGCCAAGCACTTGAGGATTGTTTCGCAAATTTTGAGAAAAAGGCAGTTGTATGCAAAATTCTCTAAGTGTGAGTTCTGGCTATCAGAGATCCAGTTTCTAGGGCATGTGGTGTTAAAGGAAGGAATCATAGTGGATCCTGCAAATGTGACAGAGGTTCGCAGTTTTCTGACACTAGCAGGCTATTGTAGAAAGTTCATTGAAGGATTTTCTAAGATAGCTTTACCCTTGACAAAGTTGACCTGTAAGGGGAAGGAGTTTAAATGGACAAAAGGGTGCGAAGCTAGTTTCCTAGAGCTGAAAATAAAGTTAACTTTAGCACCTGTGTTGATTTTGCCTGACCCGGAGCAGAAGTTTGATGTGTACTGTGATGCGTCCGGGCATGGACTTTGGTGTGTTCTGATGCAAGATGGGCGAGTGGTTGCTTATGTCTCAAGACAATTACGCCTGCATGAAGTCAACTATCCGCCGCATGATTTGGAGTTAGCCGTGGTGGTTTTTCTCTTAAGGTGTGGAGGAACTACTTATATGGAGCAAGGTTTAAGGTGTTCAGCGACCACAAGAGTTTGAAGTACTTATTTGATCAAAGGGAGCTGAACATGCAGCAGAGAAGGTGGATAGAATTTCTCAAAGATAAGAACTTCACATTGTCTTACCACCCTGGCAAGGCAAACGTGGTGGCTAATGCGTTGAGCAGGAAGTCATTGCACGTGGTAGAAATGGTGGTGAAAGAGATGGAACTAATTGAGGAATTTCGGGACATGAACTTGGCTATGGAGGTAAGGCCAAAGAGTTTATATCTCGAAGCGACAACGATTCACAATGACTTCTTGGTGTACGTCCGAGATGTTCAGCAAGGAGATGCATTCCTGCAAGACATGATGAGGCAGAAAGGTGAGGGAAAAGACTTGGAGTTCCACTGCGATGAGAACAAGGTGATTAAGTTTCAGAATCGAGTGTATGTTCCCTAAGTGGATGAGTTGAAGCAAATGATACTTGAGGAAGCGCATAAAAGTTAGATGAATTTTCACCCCGGTGCAACCAAAATGTATCAGAATCTCCAGAAGAGTTTTTGGTGAAATGAGATGAAGAGGGACGTGGCTGAATATGTGGCTAGATGCCTAACCTACCAGAAAGCGAAGGTAGAGCACCAACATCCACCTGAGTTGTTGCAACCGTTGGAGTTTCTTGAATGGAAATGAGACAATATTTCCATGGACTTTATTTCTGGGTTGCCGAGGACTAGGAACAACCATGATGCCATTTGGGTGATAGTAGATTGGTTGACTAAAGCTGTACACTTTCTCCCGATCAACATGAAGTATAAGTTGGAGAGACTTGCGGATTTATATGTGAGGGATATAGTCAGGCTGCATGGGGTGCCGACTAGCATGGTATCTAATAAAGACCCGAGGTTTACCTCGAGGTTTTGGGAGAGCCTGCAGAGGGCGTTGGGAACTAAGTTGAGGCTTAGTTTGGCTTATTAGCCACAGACCGACGGTCAGACGAAAAAGATTATTCAATCCCTAGAGGATCTTTTGAGAGCCTGTGTGATTGAGCAGCAAGGGACTTGGGAAGAGTGTCTGTCATTTGTAGAATTCACTTACAATAATAGTTATCATGCTAGCATTGGGATGACACCATTTGAGGCCTTTTATGGACGGAAGTGTAAGACTCATTTGTGCTGGTATGAGAATGGAGAGGCTACTCTATGTGCACCGGATATGATCTAGAGGCAGAATGAGCAAATTAAGATGATCAAGGAGAAGATGAAGGCTGCACAAGATAGGCAGAAAAGTTACTATGATAGGAGGAGGAAGCCTTTGGAGTTCCAGGTGGGTGACCATGTGTTTTTTAAGGTCTTACTTGTGACTGGAGTTGGGAGAGCTCTGAAATCTCGAAAGCTATCTCCAAAGTTTATTGGGCCATTCGAAGTGCTGAGTAGAATTGGTCCTGTCGTGTACTAGATAACGTTGCCTCCGAATCTCTCGAATATACATTTGATGTTCCATGTGTCACAACTCAGGAAGTATGTTCCAGATCTTTCCCATGTGATTGATCTTGACTCAGTTCAAGTAAGAAAAGATTTGTCTTATGATGTGTATCCAGTGAGAATTGTGGATCACTATGTTAAACAGTTGAGAGGCAAAAAGATCTCATTGATGAAGGTGATATGAAGCTCAAGTGATGATGTCACACGAGAAATGGAGAGTAGAATGAGAGAACTGTGTCTAGAATTGTTTGCGTAATTTGTGTGTTTGGTTGAATTTCAAGGATAAAATTCTCTAAAGGAGAGGAGCATTTTAATGTATCGAATTTTGTAATATTGATTATATATATATATATATATATATTAATGGATGTTAGGATGTGCACTTGTGTTTGTGATGAGTTTGATGAGGATGTATGTGTGTTTGAATCATGTGGTGACAATGTGTATAAATGCACATGGATAAATATGTGAGTATAAAGTATATAGGTTGAGAATATTTGACTGTGGTTGGTCTGGTTGATTGGAAATTTGGCTAATTATGGGTGTTGCAGGGTGTTTTCGCTGTAGTGAGAAGGCCCTGGGCGAAGAGCATGAAACTATGCTATTCTCACTGTAGCGAAAAGGCGACAGTGGAAGGTGCATTTCTGGATACAGTCTCGCTGTATCGAGATTCTGCAGAAATCAAAGTGCAGTTTCCTCTGCGATTTTTGCTGTTGTGACAAGAGGCGTCGTTGTAGCGAGACATCTTTCGCTGCAACGAGAGCGTCTCGTTGTAACGAGAATGTTGCGACAAGAGAGGTATTTGAAGGGGTTAGGGAAATTTATTTCTCATTCCTCTCTTCAAAATCTCTTTGATTCTCTCAACCCAAAACATTATTTCACTGACTAAATCACCTCTAAAACCATCCGGGAGTTGCATTGAAGATTGAAATCATGTTAGGAACGCTTGAAGGTACGTTTTAATGGTTAGGGTTTTGGTTTCTCATTCTCAGTTTTCTCAGCTTCCCTTGGTTCTCATGGGATTCTTACATTTATTTAGGATGAAATTTGTGTGGGGAGCACTTCCTTGGTTGATTCCATGTGTGGGTCTTCAATCCGAGGTAAGGGGAGACTCTACCCTATCTCTCGTGTCTTTAAATATGTTGTTTGGTTATGTATTGTAATGTAGATGGTTTTGAATGTGAGTGTTTAATGGAATTGATTGATTGTAATGAGATTGTGGTGGAAAGATTGAATAAAGTATAGTGCAATGAATGTTGAAAATGTTGTGTGTATGGAATTGTTGTGCGTTAAATGTAACGCGAATAAATATGGGCATCTGTGCCATGTAATGTGAATGAATGTGGGTCTGTGTGCTGTGTGTGTGAGATAATGTGGCTTTGTGTGCCATATGCGAATATGAATGCTATTTGTGGCTGAAAATGTATGTGAAAAAGGCATGTTAAATGCGGTTGTAAATATACTATGAATGGTTCAGCGATACACTAGAGGTGTGGAAGATGGAAACGGTAGAAATACCTTAGGGAAGAGAAAGTGGTGGTGACACCAACAGTGAACGTGAGTGCACCATAGGCCATGCACTCTCCTCCTGACTAGACCTCTAACCAACACCTTTGCCGAGTGACTCATGACCGCACACGTGGTATCCATGAGGCGGGGGTATCCAGCGACCATCCATGGTGTGAAACTATAATCACAGTGTCACAGCGAGCGTGGCTACATGCAGTGAGCGCACGTGCATGTGTGAAATGTTGGTGCAGTGAGCACACCAGTTGTGAATTGATTTGGAATTATTGAAAGTGTTAATTTGTGATTGTTTATAATTGAGTAGAATATGTTAGAAAACACATGAAGTGTGCGAGGTGAGTCTCTATGTTTGTGTGCGTTAGATAGTGTAGAATACTCACCCTTACATTTATTTTTCAAGTAACCAAGACGATCAGCATCGAGCTCAGTAAAGAAATGAATGATACTGTTATAGGGCTTAGATTTTATTTTGAAAATATGATGTATTTAGATTAGTCCTGTAGTAGTTACTCGCTCAAAATGTGTAAACTCTTATTATTTTGAAATACTTTGTCAAAACTATGTATTGGTAAAGTCTATTTAAATAAAAAATTTATTATTCCCATTTTATGAAATTTATTATTTTAAAATTAAATTTAAGGTGTTACAAGTAATCACTCTAAAAGAATATGCAATTACAAGGACAAGTTTATATTTTTATGTAATCAAGTAATAACTCACAGATAATTTTTTGAGCCTCAGAATAAACTTCAAGAACTTTTTATTACCTTGCAAAAATGCTTTTGTAAAAAAAAAAAAAAAGGTAAAGCATAAATTAATTTTCTACTCTTACCAAACATACACTTGATATTTAACTGTTTGAACTATAAATGATATCTTAGAAAAGTTTTCATAACTATAATATAAATCTCTTCAACATTTGCTAATAGTTTACAAAACTTATCAGATCTTCATTCATTTAACTGATATTTGGATTGGTTGTATAACTTATTTCTTTATTTTCTATGATGCTTTCAATATTGATTAAATTTTTGAGATTGTGTAACATATGAATTCTCTTATTGCAATCTTACTTATCATCGTTATCATTGTCTTCATCGGATTCACGGATCATTTCTTCACGATGCTTTAGAAGAACATAGTCCTTGTTTATCCTAATTATAGTCAAATGCTTATATATAATTTGTCGAGACTAATAAAGACTGTTGTTGCATTTTTTACAAGAGTAACAAAGTCACTTTTCTTCCTTAAAACCATTAAATACGAATTTAAAAAATTCACAAACTCCTTTATCATATATCTATCAATCAAAATTTTATCTAATCTTATACTTATGATAATTATACATAATTAGTAGAATATAACAAAATCATATAGGAAAGAAAAGATAAAATATTACAATACATGAAGATATGAATTAAATATTAACTGATTATTGTTATTGAAATACAATTTAACATAAACACTATTTTAATATGAATTAATTTAAATTTTTTAAAATAATATTTTTGATGAATCCATATTTTTACTGATATTTTAGCATAATTCTAGCTTATTTAATAAGGAAAATATATGAAGAAAGCAGAAAAACTCAGAAAAAGAGAATGATTGAAAGTTTTATTTCAATTTGTAGTTATTTTCGCATTTGTAGAATTTATGCTTAGTTCTTAAGGAATTTATCTTGTTTTTGAAGGAATAATCTGAGCAAAAGTCATGGAAATGGATTATCAATGGAAAGGAAGAGGAAGAATGGCAATGTTGGACTCCAAAATACAAGAATTATGGGATGCAGGCTGGGCGTGATCACTATTGTTAGTGAAAGTGATCATTCCAGAGCCTAAATGAGAAGAGGAGCCTGTGCGTAATCACTTTTATTTACAAGAATGAACGTTGTCAGTGTGCGTTATCACTTTCGCCAACGAAAGTGAACGTTCCAGAGAGACTTCATTCCTGATGAGCTGCGCGTTGTCACTTTCGCCAACGAAAGTGAGCGTTCCAGAGACACTTGTATCAGGACAGCTTGCGTGTGGTTACTATTACTCACGAAAGTGATCACGCGCAGCCCTCGAACTCCTGCGTTGCCACTCTTATGAATTAAAGTGAATGTTCCAGAGAAGCCTTCAACTCTGCAAGTTGCGCGTGGTTACTCTTGCTCTTGAAAGTGAACACGCGCACTACATAAAGCTTCTGCGTGGTTACTCTTGTGAAGAAAAGTGACAACGCGCAGAACTGGGGTTTCTATAAATACATGATTGAAGCGCGAAACTAGGGGTCTTTTGCTCATTTTCTGTTTTGTTAGTTAGATTCTCGTTGAGAGAGAGTGGAGAGAAGATTGGGGTCGAAGCTTGAAGCTCCAAGAAGAGGGATCGAATTAGAGCTCGTGGCCATGGCTGCTCTGCATTCTTCTTCATCTTCTTCTTCTTCTTTCTCTGTTTTTGTTGCAATGTGTGCTTAATTTCCCATAGTTAGGGGTTTATGGAACTCGAATTGATGTATTGATTCGACTTTATCTTCTGAACTTTAAGTTCTTAGATTAATTGAGTTGTTAATTCTGCTTTTCATGCAATCTTTGAATGGAAATTCATTTGATTAATCAAGAGGAATCTTTACCAATGGGAATTGGATTGTTTGCTCCTATCTGAATTGGCAACCAGAGTTTAGGGATTTCTTAGGGATAAGGAGACCTAATTCTGCAATCTTATAGTTCTAATTCTTAATGCAACCTGAAATTGAATCTCACCTAAGGGATTAGGGAGGTTTAGTGGATTGTTAGGGTCAATGAGTTAAGGAATTAACCTTTGGCTAGGTATATGTGAAACTGATTGTCAATTATTCAATTGCTTGAATGTTCAGAAGATTTAATTGGATTGATATTGATATTCTTGTGAAGTAAATTCCTAACTATCCTTCATTGCTATTTCATTTCATCACAAATCTTATAATCTGTTTTTCTGCAAGTTCTTTACTTTTGATTGCTCTGATTATTGCTTTTATATGATACAACTCTCTTCCCAAATTCATATGGCTCAAATGGTTATTTTTCTGTGAAGTGATAATTGAGTTCCTAATTCCCTGTGGAGACGATACTCGGATCTTAAATTTACTCATTACTTGCTGCAATCCTAGTGCACTTGCTAGTGTTTAGATTGCAAACAACAAGTTTTTGGCGCCGTTGCCGAGGAATTTTGAATTTCAATATCATTAGTAGTAGAAAAGTAACTAGATTGAGCATTTATTTTTGTTGTTGTTCTGCTTTCAAGTTTTTCTGCATAATTTCTCTGCATCTTGTGCAGATTTCTGCATAAGTTCTGCTGTCTTTTGCATAAAGTTTTTGCATTTTCTGCATAATCTCGTTTTTCATGTTTCTGCATAATTGTAAACTTCATTTTGTATAATTTCTATGTTTTCTGCATTCATGAATTTCTGATTCTGATAGAATTAACACTGTATTTTCTGCATAATTTTATTTTTCATTCTTCTGCATAATTTTAATTTTTGTTCTGCATAAATTTCTGTGTTTTTTACATATTTTGTTTTGTAGCTTTTCTGTTTTCTTTTGCATTTTTCTGCATAATCTTGTTTTTTTTTATTTTTCTGCATAAATTTCTATATTTGTTGCATGTTATGTTTTTTAATTTTTTGCATAATTTCATATTTCATTTTTCCTAGTTACAAATTTAATTAGACTTTTGTTTTCTTTCTTATTGTATGCAAGGAAAAACCAGAAAAATAAGTTGCTCTATTGTTTGATGGCAACCATCATGTATCAGAATTTTTATCAAAGCCAAGTTGCAAGAACAGAAGCTTATGAACCAGATACTCTTAATGCTTTGATTAATAATTTTCAAGCTAGAGTTGCCCAAACTAACCCCTTGGTGTGTGATTTTTACAGTGAAAATGATTTGAATGAAACATATGATGTGGCTGCACCAGAATTTCAAGAAGAAATCAATTTTGGAGGAAATTCTCAAAGATCTGAATATACCTTTCCTCATGAATATCAATATCAAGCTAACATAAGTCAGACATATTATGATTGGAATCAATAAATGTTAGTTGCAACAACACCATTCTTTAATCCTCATTCTTCACAGCGTTATTCTCAAGTGTCATATTCTCAACCTCAAGGAGGACTGCAACCTTCACAAACTTCTTCAAAAAGAATGAATGAACTTGAAGAAACTTTATTCCA